TAAGCAGCATCATAAGGAGAAAAGATTGAAGTTGTCAAAGATTTCATATTACTTGATTCTACAATCAACGCCAATGGAAGCAGCCATCAAGATATCAGACGTCATATAGCATTGGGAAAATCTGCTGCAAAGGACCTGTTTCAAGTGCTGAAGAGCAAAGATGTTTCCCTGAAGACTAAGGAGTGCTTGACACAAGCCATGGTATTTTCAGTCATCTCATATGCATGTGAGAGCTGGACAATGACAAAGGAAGGCTGAAGAAGAGTTATTGCTTTTGAGTTGTGTTGGTGAAGAATGCTGAAAGCACCATGGACTACTAAAAGAACTAACAAATCTGTCCTAGAAGAAGTACAGCTGAAATGCTACTTGGAAGTGAGAATGGCCAGACTTTGTCTCACCTACTTTGGTCATGTTGTCAGAAGGGACCATTCCCTGAAGAAGGATATCATGCTTGGTAAAGTGGAGGGTCAACGAAAAAGGGGAAGGCCCTTGACAAGATGGATGGACACAGTGGCTGCAGTGACTGGCTTAAGTATAGCAAAGATCGAGGAGCTGGCACGAGACCGGGCAGTGTTTCGTTCTGCTGTACATGAGGTCACCCACCATGAGTCGGAGATGATGGCACTCAACAACAACAACAGCCATACAAAGCTCATATATGTCCCCCAGGGCCATTAAAAATCCAAGCATTTCAAATAATGAAGTTAAGTGAAAGTATTTCTTTAAAAGTATCATGGAAAATGTATTATTTTAAGTTGTGATAAATTGAAGGTGGGGTAAAACCCTCCTACCTAGGCTTGGAGGGTGTATTATAATTCTGATTCTGACACTCAACCTCTGTAAACATAATTCAATTGTAAAATAGATGCAACAATATGTTTCGTATAGGTTACACAGCCCTTGTGGCACAGTGATTGAAGTACTCAGCTGCAAACTGAAAGATGAGTGGTACAAGCTCACCAGCCTATGTGGGGAGAGAAAGATGTGGCAGTCAGCTTCGGTAAAGATTTACAGCCCTGGAAATCCTGTGGGGGAGTTCTCCCTCTCTTAAAGAGTCACTCTTCATTGAAATCTGCTTGATGGCAGTGAATTTAGTTTTTGGTTTATTGCAGAGGTTGTCATGAAGATCAAATAAGATAATGTATATAAAGCTCTATAACATATTTGACAATAGTCCATACTCAGTAAGTGACAGCCATTATTATCATTATTAGCAATGGAACTACATAGATCAATGCCTTGATAAACTACTCTTTCTGATAAATAACTTATAAATTATGCAATCTGATCTTTCGTTAAGGAAAGACTCACATATGTTTCTGTCTTGTATTGGAAATGTACTTCCATTTTAAAGGACCATATGGTTAAGTGCCGAAAGGGCTAACCAAAGGGTGATAGTTGGAGCCCACTGTGAGGAACCTTTGAAGCAAGTCCTGATAATGTGTTTCTAAAAGGACAAAGCCATGAAAACCCTGTGGAGCCCAGTTCTGCTCTGACCCACATGGGGCCACCTTAAGTTAGAATCAACTTGAAAGCAACTAGGTTTTTTTTGGGGGGGGGAGGTAGGTGGTTTTAGGTTTTGGTAGGTTGTGCCTCCCTCAACATTAAATATTTAATTAAACGAACAATTCAGCGAATCTCAATTTCACATTTGTGTATTCTGGTTAACGCGGTTGCTGGAATGGACAGAGACAAACTTGCATGGAGGTGCTGTGAGGTCAACTCTTGCAGTTTTTGTCTGACTTTCTACGGAGGACGCTTAGGAACATTACTGTGAGGGGGGAAGTAGAATTGAATTTGAAAGCCAAACTGAATTAATGTGCTTGTTGTGAAGATTTTCTGACAACTGCTTTACCACTCTGTTGTGCTTTATGGCAGTTGCTAGAAGGCACTTTTGATTACAGAGATCTTGCAATGGAAATCTGGGGACTACAGACTCCTCACCCACAAGATTTATCAGGAAGGTTGGGCAATCCTACTTCCGTAGTGATACTGCCTCGGAAACCCAAGGAGGGGTCGCTATGAGTCGGGGCCGACTCGACGGCACATAACAACAACAACAACAACATGAGAATTTCTGTGGTCTTTTCCCATTTCTAAATGCCACTACTATCTTCATCATCATTATCCCAATAGAGTTCTATATTAGGGAGCAAACTGGACAAGAACTAAGATTCTAACGAGTACTTGCGAACACTTGGACTAGTTGCATTTGGTTTGGTAATCTGCAATGCATTTGCATGGTAGTGTCTTTTCACTAACCTATCTTTTGTTACAAATCTATACATGCCTAGGGAGCTCTGGTAGCTTAGTACCTAAGACATTTGACTGCTAACCAGAAGGCTGGCCGTTCAAACCCACCAGCCACTCCTTGGAAGGAAGATTGGGTGATCTACTTTTGTAGTGATACTGCCTCAGAAACCCAAGGAGGGGTCGCTGTGAGTCGGATCCAACTCGACAGCAGTGAGTTTGGTTTTTTGTTTTTTATACATACCTATGTGGTAGCATAGCTCTGGTAACATAGTGGCTAAAGCACTTGACTGCTAACCAGAAGGCTGGCGGTTCAAACCCACCAGCCACTCCTCGGAAGGACGGTTGGGCAATCCTACTTCCGTAGTGATACTGCCTCAGAAACCCAAGGAGGGGTCGCTATGAGTCGGGGCCGACTTAACGGCACATAACAACAACAACATGTGGTAGCATAGTGCCTAAGGCATTTGACTGCTAACCAGAAGGCTGGTGGTTCAAACCCACCAGCCACTCCTCGGAAGGAAAGTTGGGCAATCTACTTTTGCAGTGATACAGCCTCGGAAACCCAAGGAGGGGTCGCTATGAGTCGGGTCCGACTCAACGGCACATAACAACAACACAACAACATGTTAAGAAGAAATAAAACGTTGTAAACTAGAAACCCCTTCCCTCCCTTTCCTCTGACTCCCTGGTTCCACTTCTGCAATTGAAGTACTATGAACAGTTGCTTGGAATCATTGCAGAAAATTTATTTATCATCTGTTTTGGTAGAAATAAAATTGCTGTATACATACATAGCATTTTTTTTTTGCACTTATTGTTATTATCTCCAGAAGAGATTTATATACCAGCACTCGTAGCTGTATTTCATTTTTTAAAAGGCTGGGTCTTATGGTTGAACCTTTATTTAAACAGTCTCTCTCTATACATGTATCTTGTGCACTTCTAAAGTGGATCGGTAAGGATAAATTCCTAGCAATGGCATTTCTGGGCTAAAGGGTATGAAGTCTCTTATTCTGATAAGCCACAATGCCCATCAAGGAAACATTTTAGCTTTCATCATAATTGATACAATTTAGTATCGAACTGCTCAGAATCCTCTGGGCACTACTACATTGAGCAAATAGTCCGTTCCCCTATGGAAGTTGAATATTCACTTAAAATTGAATTTTACTAGTTGCCAAGTCTTTCTGTGCCATTGACTGTCATCTGGAGCAATCCTTCATTTTGCTGGATGCAAATTTCCTGAAAAGTAAATTTGTTCTTGTAAATGTTAAAATCTATAGGTTCAGTAAAAAAACCCTGCTATTCCCACCTTTTTAATATCCAGGGTATTAGAGCTAGGCCTACATTGCCAAAAGACTAAGAGGTCTTGATACTATAATCTTTTATCCTAAGAAATACTACTATGATGTTTTTATAACTTTTTCCTCTTTGAATTGCCTTTGGACAAAGTGTCAATAGAGGGTTTACAGTTTTATTGTTGTGCTGTTGGGTTTGTTCGACTCAAAGTGACCCTGTGTACATACAACAGGACAAAACACTGCTTGGTCCTGTGCCACCTTCACAATTGTTGCTATTCCTGAGCCCATTGTTGCAGCCACTATGTCAGTCCATCTCACTAGAGGTCTTCCCCTTTTTCCCTGACCCTCTACTTTACTAAGCATGATATCCTTCTCCAAGGACTGGTCCTTTCTGATAGCATCATGAAAGTACGTGAGATGAAGTCTGGCATTCTCGCATCTAAGTAACATTCCAGCTGTGCTTCTTCCAAGACAGATTTGTTCATTCTTCTGGAATTCATGGTATTCAATGTTCTTCACCAACACCACAATTCAAATTCTTCTTTCATCTTCCTTTTTCATTATCCAGCTTTCACATGCATATGAAACTATTGAAAATACTATGGCTTAGGTCAGGCATGCACACCTTAGTCTTCAAAGTGATATCTTTGGTCTTTAGCATTTTAAAGAGGTCTTTTGCAGCAGATTTGCCCAATGCAATACATTGTTTGATTTCTTCACCTTTGCTTCCATGATTGTGGATACAAGTAAAATTAAATCCTTAAAAACCTCAATATTTTCTCCATTTATCATGATGTTGCTTATTGATCGAGTAGTGAGGATTTTTGTTTCTTTATGTTGAGGGTATAGTCCATACTAAAGGCTGTAGTCTTTGATTTTCACCAGTAAGGGCTTCCAGTCTTCTTCACTTTCAGCAAGCAAGGTCACGTCTTCTGCATTTCGCAATCCTGATGCTGCGTTCTTCTTCAGATAATCCAGTTTCTCAGATGATTTGTTCAGATACAGATTGAATAGGAATGGTGAAAGAAGACAACCCTGACACACATCTTTCCTGATTTTGAATTACACAGTATCCCCTTGTTCTGTTTGACTGATTGCCTCTTGGCCTATGTACATATTCGTGAGCATGATTGTTCTGGAATTCTCATTCTTTGCAATGGTATCCATAATTTGCTATGATCCACACAGTCAAAGATGTTTGCATAGGCAATAACAAACAGATAAACAACTTTCTGGTATTCTCTGCGTTCGATCAAGATCGACCTGACATCAGCAAGGATATCCCATATTTAGTCTGAACCGCATTCAGAAGCAGTTCTTTCTTATTGTGTTACAGCACATAGCATTGTGAATCTTATGTACAATGAACTTAAAATTGAAATTTATTACTAGCAATAATATGGCTTAATGAACAATGTTTCCTAACTGCGTTTGTTTTGTTCCCAGGAGGCGTCAGGACAATCATGCCCATGAGAACTTTAAATTGTTCAGGTAATCATTTTATTTTTTAAATTGTCTTTTAGGTATGTTTTGTTTCCTGTATTATGGAGGTTTTAGAATGATTTTGTTTAGATGTATTCTACCTTTTCCAAAATTCTATGAGAATCTTTGATTCCATAGCTTTGATCTAGTTGTACTAGTCACTGTTTTTAAGCTATAAAATATAGTGCACTTCACCATGCAGATCTTTAAACTTGGTTAGAAATAGTTCTACATGTCTTTTACTGGAAGTTTATAAATTTTTAAAATTTTAGCAATAATTTTTTGAAAATGTTTTTCTAAAAGTAATTTTTCTAAAAGTAATTTTCTACTCAAAATTAAGCAGTATTTAAAAGGAAACATATAGGAGAGTTATAGTTATGATTTAATACTATATTTGAAATTAATTTTAGTAGTGTAACTAGGATTCCTAGTGGCACAGTGGTTAACTGTTCAACTGCTAATTGATAGTTTGGCAATTCAAACCCATTAGCCATTTTACAGGAGAATGGCAATCTGCTCCTGTAAAGATTTCAGCCTCTGAAAGTAGGGGAAGTTATACTTTGTCCTATAAGATACCTATGAGTTGGAATCAACTCAATGACACACCACAATAACAACATAGTAAAAACTCTAAAAACTCACTGCTGTCGAGTGAGATCCAACCCATAGCGACCCCTCCTTGGGTTTCTGAGGCAGTATCACTACGGAACTAGATTGCCCAATCTTCCTTCCGAGGAGTGGCTGGTGAGTTTGAACCTTCAGCGTTCTGGTTAGCAATCAAATGCCTTAGGCATTATGCCACCAGAGCTCCTAACAACATTAAAAAAACAAAACAAAACAAAAAAAGAACACACAAAACACCAAACCCACTGCCTTATGTTGATTCCAACTCATAATGATTCCATTGGGTTTCTGAGGTTGGTAAATCTTTATAATAGCTACAAAAAAAAAAAAAATTCCCAGAAGTGAAAAATATTTTCAGTTTATACAATTTCTGACTGGTTATTGAAGATTGATTTTTATTTCTTTTTTGAATGATGTTCTCTCTGTGTTTTCTTTTCTTTTTTTTCCAGGTCATTGTATCTTTGTGAAACTGGCAATTGAACTTTGCTCTAGTTGATGGGTGAAATTTCTTCTAGACCTTTCATCATCCCAATTTTGTCCTACTCAGAAATACTCAAATACCATAAAAAATCTTCATAGATTTGCACTTAGCCTTCAGATGGACACTTCTATAATGGAGAGAACTGTGTTATAGCCCTGGTGGAAGGACATTATCATCTAATGCCCGTAGACTGCGGTGAGGGTGTGGAAGGTTCCAAAGAGAAAGAAAAATCGAGTTTGCAGACATCCGGGAACATGGAAGCAACCAAGCTTTAATAAAGCACAGCTTTGGAGAAACTCCATGAGTCTGCACAGCTTTCACGTGAACTAGCACTTAAGACCTTGTGTAACAAAATGGACACTGGGGACACAGCTATAGGACAAAACGCTACCTCAAGGTCTGGAGAAACTGATAAAGCATCAGGTAGATGGAGACAGGAGCAATCCGCTATTATTAAGATGAGCACTTTTGGCAGTCAAGAAGGACAGCGGCAACCACAAATAGATCCTGAGCAAATCGGAAACACAGCATCAGCACAACTGTTTGGTTCTGGGAAACTGGCTTCACCCAGTGAAGTGGCCCAGCAGGTCCCAGAGAAGCAATATCCACCGCACCGCCCGAGTCCTTATTCATGCCAACACTCACTCCCTTTTCCTCAGCACTCATTGCCACAGACGGTCATGCACAGCAACAAGCCCCATCAGAGCCTGGAAGGCCCTCCGTGGCTGTTTCCTGGCCATTTGCAGTCTGTTGCCTCCGAGGACTTATTTCCTTTTCCCATACCTGGTCACAGTGGTGGTTATCCTAGGAAAAAGATTTCAAGTCTGAACGCTGCTTACAGCCAATACTCCCAGAAAAGTATCGACCAGTCTGAAGATGCTCACAAAAAAGAGCACAAACCCAAAAAGCCCGGCAAGTACATTTGCCCTTACTGCAGCAGGGCATGTGCCAAACCAAGTGTACTGAAAAAGCATATCAGGTCCCATACTGGGGAGCGGCCATATCCATGTATACCTTGTGGTTTCTCCTTCAAGACAAAAAGCAATTTGTACAAGCACAGGAAGTCCCATGCCCATGCAATTAAGGCAGGGTTAGTACCTTTCACAGAGTCAGCTGTATCTAAATTGGACCTAGAGGCTGGTTTTATTGATGTAGAAGCAGAAATACACTCAGATGGTGAACAGAGCACAGACACAGATGAGGAGAGTTCATTATTTGTTGAGACTTCTGACAAAATGAGCCCTGGCCCACCAATCCCGTTGGATATTGCTAGCAGAGGCAGCTATCATGGGTCGTTGGAAGAGTCTTTGGGAGGTCCAATAAAGGTGCCGATTCTTATTATCCCCAAAAGTGGGATTCCATTGCCTAATGAAAGCTCTCAGTATATTGGCTCCGATATGCTACCAAATCCATCTTTAAATGCTAAAGCTGATGACTCTCACACAGTTAAACAGAAACTTGCACTAAGACTGTCAGAGAAAAAAGGACAGGATTCTGAGCCATCTCTAAACCTTCTGAGCCCGCACAGTAAAGGAAGCACTGATTCTGGTTACTTCTCTCGCTCAGAAAGTGCAGAGCAGCAAATAAGCCCTCCAAACACAAATGCAAAGTCTTATGAAGAAATCATCTTTGGAAAATACTGTCGGCTTAGTCCAAGAAACATACTCAGTGTTACAGCCACAAGTCAGGAGAGCACCACAATGGGTAGGAAGGGCATAATGGAATCATTACCTCACACCAATGCCAGGTTAGATGTCAAGATGTTGGAAGATCCTGTATCACAACTGATCCCGGGCAAAGGAGGCATTGACCCCAGTCAAACAGGCATGCTAAAATCCAGTAAGTTCAACAGTGAGTCCAGACAATCCCAGCCAATCGTGTCCTCCATCAGGAATGAAGGAAAACTCTATTCACCAAATTTCCAAGGCAGCAATTCAATCCTCTTAGAAGCTCCTGTAGACTCCTCGCCCCTCATTAGAAGCAACTCAATGCCAACTTCTTCAGCAACTAATTTAAGCATCCCCCCTTCTTTGAGAGGAAGCCACTCCTTTGATGAAAGAATGACTGGTTCAGATGATGTGTTCTATCCAGGGACCGTGGGGATACCCCCTCAGCGCATGTTAAGAAGACAAGCAGCATTTGAGCTGCCTTCGGTACAGGAGGGCCATGTGGAGATAGAGCATCATGTCAGAATGTCCAAAGGTATCACAGGTTCATCCCTGAAGGAGAAAAAGTTAATTCCTGGGGATAGGGTTGGGTATGACTATGATGTATATCAGAAGCCCTATAAGAAGTGGGAAGACTCTGAAACACCTAAGCAAAGCTACAGGGACAGTTCCTGCTTAAGTTCTTTAAAACATGGTGGAGAATATTTTATGGATCCCTCGGTGCCATTGCAGGGAATGCCAACCATGTTTGGAACTACTTGTGAAAATAGAAAACGCCGCAAAGAAAAGAGCGTAGGTGATGAGGAGGACACCCCCATGATTTGCAGCAGTGTTGTGAGCACTCCCATGGGCGGAATGACTTCAGATTATGACCCCAAAGTGCAGATGCAGGAAGGAGTAAGGAGTGGATTTGCCATGGTTGGACATGAGAACCCTTCTCATGGTCACTCTGAACGCTTTGACCCATGTCGACCCCAACTGCAGTCTGGAAGTCCATCTCTTGGGTCGGAGGAATCACCCTTAGCCACTGATTCAGACAAGGTGTCAGACCTAGGGGGCAGGAAACCCCCTGGAAATGTGATATCTGTGATTCAGCACACAAACTCACTGAGCCGACCTAATTCATTTGAAAGGTCTGAATCTGCCGAACTCGTAGCTTGCGCACAAGACAAAGCCTCTTCACCTTCTGAGACTTGTGAAAGTGAGATTTCAGAAGCCCCAGTGAGTCCAGAGTGGGCCGCACAGGGGGACAGTGCCGAAAGTGGAGGAAAGCCGTCCCCTTCTCAGCAGGTGCAGCAGCAGTCCTATCATGCACAACCCAGGTTGGTTCGCCAGCACAACATTCAAGTCCCTGAGATCCGTGTAACAGAAGAGCCTGATAAACCCGAGAAGGAGAAAGAAGCACAGAGTAAGGAGCCGGAAAAGCCTGTGGAGGAATTCCAGTGGCCCCAGAGGAGTGAGACCCTTTCCCAACTCCCAGCCGAGAAGTTGCCCCCTAAAAAGAAGCGTTTGCGACTTGCAGATATGGAACACTCGTCTGGGGAGTCCAGCTTTGAGTCTACAGGAACCGGCCTCTCTCGCAGCCCCAGTCAGGAAAGCAACTTATCCCACTGCTCCAGCTTTTCAATGTCCTTTGAAAGAGAAGAAACTGTTAAGCTTGCTGCACCTCCGAGGCAAGATGAGTTTGGGAAGCATTCCGAGTTTCTGACCGTTCCAGCTGGCTCATACTCATTGTCTGTCCCCGGTCATCACCACCAGAAAGAGATGCGACGTTGCTCATCTGAGCAGATGCCTTGTCCTCACCCCACAGAAATCCCTGAAATTCGGAGCAAATCATTTGATTATGGAAACCTGTCTCATGCTCCCGTGGCAGGAACATCTGCCTCGACGTTATCGCCATCACGAGAGAGGAAGAAATGCTTTTTGGTTCGGCAGGCTTCCTTCAGCGGTTCCCCAGAGATTGCCCAGGGGGAAGCCGGTGGGGATCAGGGTGTGAAGCAGGAGCACGTGGAGCACCTGCATGCCGGTCTCAGGTCCGTGTGGCACCATGGCCCGTCTGCGGTGCTTCCTCCCCTGCAAGCAGATGACCCTGGGAAGCAGGTTGTGGGGCCTTGTGCCCAGATGAATCCTGGGTCCCTCCACTTGGCCCAACCACAGATCATGCACATGGACAGTCAGGAATCTTTGAGAAGCCCCTTGATACAACCCACGTCTTATATTGCCAGCAAGCACTTATCTGAACAGCCACATTTATTTCCACATCCAGAGACGATTCCATTTTCTCCAATTCAGAATGCCCTGTTTCAGTTTCAGTATCCTACTGTCTGTATGGTTCACTTGCCAGCTCAGCAGCCTCCCTGGTGGCAGGCCCATTTCCCACCTCCCTTTTCTCCACACCCTCAGAAGAGCTATGGTAAGCCTTCTTTCCAGTCAGAAATTCATTCTAGCTACCCCCTAGAGCACGTTTCAGAGCACACTGGAAAGAAATCTGCTAATTATGCACATGCGAAAGAGCAAACTTACCCATGCTATTCAGGAACTTCAGGGCTGCACTCAAAGAGCCTTCTTCCAAAGTTACCCTCAGACTCGAGCACTAAGTCAGTGGATACTCCCTCCGAGCAGCTTTTCCAAGAAGATTTTGCCTCCGCAAACACTGGGCCTTTACAGTCCTTACCAGGAACAGTGGTTCCTGTTAGGATCCAGACCCATGTCCCATCATATGGGAGTGTCATGTACACAAGCATTTCTCAGATACTTGGGCAGAACAGCCCTGCGATTGTCATATGCAAAGTTGACGAGAATATGACACAAAGAACACTGGTAACCAACGCAGCCATGCAAGGGATAGAGTTTAACATCGCCCAGGTGTTAGAGCAGCATGCAGGCTTGGAAAAATACCCTATTTGGAAAGTACCTCAGACCTTACCCCTTGGCTTAGAAGCCACAATCCCATTATGTTTACCTTCCACATCTGATAGCTCTGCTACCCTTGGAGGTAGCAAGCGTATGCTTTCTCCAGCCAGTAGTTTGGAACTGTTCATGGAAACAAAGCAGCAGAAAAGGGTGAAAGAGGAAAAGATGTATGGACAGATTGTTGAGGAGCTCAGCGCTGTGGAGCTAACCAACTCCGACATCAAAAAGGATCTCTCCCGCCCACAGAAGCCCCAGTTGGTGAGGCAAGGCTGTGCTTCTGAGCCAAAGGATGGCTCACAGTCCGGCTCATCTTCCTTCTCCTCACTGTCGCCTTCCTCATCTCAAGACCACCCGTCTGCCAGCATGCCCTCAAGGGAGCCATTCCCACCCAGCAGGGAGATGCTTTCTGGTTCTAGGGCACCACCTCCGGGGCAGAGGTTCAGTGGGCCTTCGGAAAGCAAAGAGTCATCAGATGAGCTAGATATTGATGAGACGGCATCTGACATGAGCATGAGCCCACAGAGTTCATCATTGCCTCCGGGGGACAGTCAGCCCGAAGGGCCAACTAAGGGCCACAAGATGCCTGTTGGCATGCTGGTCCAGATGGCATCTGGCCCAAGTGGGAAAGTGGCAAACTCAACGTTTCTTTTAACAGACGTGTCAGATTTCCAGCAAATTCTTCAGTTCCCTAGTCTGCGGACGACAACTACTGTGAGTTGGTGCTTCTTGAATTATACAAAACCCAATTATGTGCAACAGGCCACCTTCAAATCCTCAGTTTATGCTTCATGGTGCATTAGTTCCTGTAACCCAAACCCATCAGGATTGAACACCAAGACCACTCTGGCTCTTCTGAGGTCCAAGCAAAAAATTACCGCAGAAATTTATACTCTGGCTGCTATGCATAGACCTGGAACTGGCAAGCTTACATCATCTAGTGCTTGGAAACAGTTTGCTCAGGTAACAAATATTTTAGAAAGCATTCTGAGTTATGTGTTTGATTGCTAAGCAGAATACGTAGTGAAGGCTGTAAGGTCTAAAACGTACCAGTAAAATTGAGGTCAAAGTTGGGGAGGGGAGCCCTCAGTAGCACCCTTACACTGGGTGAAAGAAACCACTGACTGTGGACTTAGTTATGAGGTCCTAGAGAGAGCCCCCAAGACTGTCTCCTTCACACAGGAGTCAGGAAATTCCACCACTGGGGTAAATTCCTTTGGCATTGTCTCCTTTCTGACCTGTGTTAGTGACCTAGCAGATGTGCTTTTTTCAGGGAATTGTGAAATAGGGCTGTAGATCAGGACGCTGAAAAGAATGATCTGGTAGGAAATGTGAAGGGTGTCAGAACTGAGCCTTACCAACTGACGGGTGCCTTTCCTCCTTTACGACACATTTCACTCACATTTATTTTCTATATATCTCTTTCGAAACTTACTTTTTTTCAAGTTATTATCTGTCTTGTTCCTACATAAACAACTAATACCTTACATATAAAGTTATAAAAATATTAATAAGGAACACTCTGGAGTTTATGCTAAGTTATTAATGAAGCAAATGGGGACTTTGAAAATGGGTTTGCACTGATTTCTGTTACTATTTCCCCTTCAGAAATTTCTGGGAATATTTCCTTAAATACTGTGGATTGTTTTCATTGTTACTTGAGGGTATACAACATGTCTTTTATGTTTTTATTAGCATTCCCCGAGTAAGTGCTAACCAAGTATCTTTTGAATGAAAGGTTAACTTTATTCTATAGAAACTGTCATTTTCTGATTTTATCCCTAGTGTCTCTTATTTTGTGTAACCAGAACATGGCCCTTTAACATGGGGTTCTGGCTAATTTTCAGAGATGATAGACGAGTAGGGAGTGTGGTGGGTGAGCTACTCCTTCCCTTGTTCTTAGAGAAAGCATGTGAAATGATTCTCTCTTTCTGTCCCACAGATGAAACCTGATGCGCCATTTTTATTTGGCAGCAAACTGGAAAGGAAACTAGTGGGAAACATCTTAAAGGAAAGAGGGAAAGGAGATAATCATGGAGATAAAGATATTGGATCCAAACAAACTGAGCCAATCCGAATCAAAATTTTTGAAGGAGGGTAAGGAAACATAAGTGCAAATGTGAAATGTTCAGATATAAGTTAGAGTAAATGGCCCTGAATGTCTGCATGGATAAATACTAGGGTTGGAAGCTTAGAGTGAATTCTCTTTCTTGGCACGTTTCAGAAGTCTGGCTGGTGCCAGATGATGAGTTTATGTTCTTGCTTTTGTAACTTGCTTTTAATGAAAATGTCCCTGTTCTGTATGGTTTCAACTTCTCCCTTTAATTTTCATGCTTCTTATTTAGCAGGCAATCAACTAAATTGGTGAGCTCTTGATGTGCTCTACATTAGTTTACATTTTAATTATGTTTTTATGGGCAAATGTGATGTTATTAATGGACACCTTCTTATGCTGTGCTTACAAAAATGTAGTCATGTGCACGCATGTATAATCCTGGGAACTAGTTAATTTATTTGTTTGTCTGCTTTTATTATTACCTGAACTCCAGGCTTTATTGGAATGTCACGAGTTTTCTGTTCCAGGATCCCAACCAGGATACCATATTGCATTTATACTTTCAAGTTTCCCCATTCTCCTCTGATCTTGACAGTTTTTCAGTCGTTAGGAATTTCTTTTTAAATGTTGAATGCACATTTATAGAAACTCAAGTAATATGTTCAATGGCTTTGTTGTCTGTGCATCTGAAGAAAACAACACATGTAGATAGTATCAAGCATGTTTAGATTTTGATAGCAATGTATCTTCAATCTAGTCACATGGAAGGAAAGTCTAGGTGAATACTTTTAAAATTTTAAAATTTTGAAATACCTTAACCACTTTTTTTGCAACAGATCCTTAATTTACATATTTTCTTGACCATGAACTTATTCCGATTACATTTGGAGAACAAAATAATGTTATTTGTTTGACTATAAAATGCTGAACGTTTAGTGAGATAAAGTGTCAGCTTCCCACATAATTATACCATGTGGGAGATGGATTATTAAGGTTGTTCCTCCTAACATTTTACCATCTTTGGATGCCTGTTACTTTCACCATAAAAATCACAGTTGTATGTAGTCTGTGAAGCTTGTCTCAATGAATATTTTTTTGCCATCCCTCATCTTTTAACACAAAAGAGAAATAGAGGTTGTATTTTTCCCCAGAGACTGAGGTCTCTGTAATGTAATGAGCCCTCTTGCATTCAGCAGCTTCTGCCTAGCAGTGCGTTTATACCACTAGGTTAGCAAGACCTTCACGGTCACTGTATGCTTTGGGAAATCAACCTCCACTAAAGAAGGACACAAGTGAAAAAGTGTTTGTGAACATTTTATTGCTGTGTTTTTATGATCTGAAAGGGTTGTGACCATATTTCATTTCCTCTTCCTTTCATTGTCCCCTGTTATGGGCCAGGCCCCAATTGTTTCTTAATCTATGAGCAAGCTTCAACCTGTGATGGCCAGGTATTCATTTCAACCTTTGTATGACCACCACTTAAAGGAGTTCTGGTGGCACTGTGGTTAAAGCATTGGGCTGCTAACCAAAAGGTTGGTGGTTTGAACCCATCTGTTGTTCTGTGGAAGAAAAATGAGACAGTCCACATCTGTAAAGATTTACAGTGTTGGAAACCCTATGGGACAGTTAGTTCTACTCTGTCTTATAGGGTTGCTATGAATCAGAATCAACTCCATGGGAGTGGGTATGGTTTTTTGGTTATTACCACCTCTTATTCTACTGATTACAAAGATATAATTTCTTAAAAAATAAAGTACTACTGACCATATTTTTTAAAATATATATTCCTTATATTATTTCATTCATAGATGTAGTAATTTAGCTAAACATATATTTTAATTATTTTTCAAAATCCATTCATTTTCTTATCATGTAGATTCTTGAGTCTACAGAACTGTTTTATGGTACGTAATTTATTTGTACAGATTTCTCTAATACACAGATATCTTTTTATTTTATTTTTGATTTTTTCAGTGTTCTCTCCCCTCCCCTCTCACCCCTGGTAACCAACAAAGAAAGTTTCCTTCCATATGTAAATCTTTTCTTGACTTTTTGTAATAATGAACAATGTAATAATGAATATCTGTCCTTCTGTGATTGCCTTATTTCACTCAGCATAATGTCCTCCAAGTTCATTCATGTTATACAGTGTTTTGCAGATTCTACATTATTCTTTATCTAATACACAGATATCTTTATACAGAATTTTATTGTGTTTTCATTTAGGAAGCAAGTTACTCAGCAGATATATTAAAAATAAAAAATATTATATAACATACAAAATATATGTTCCACCAACAAATGACAATGGGCTACTGTGGAGCTTGAAGTATCCTTGCCTGAAGAAAATTAGCTTTTAATAAAATCATTTGTTTTATTCTATATTCCTTGGACAATTTTACCTAGTTAGGGGCAGGGAATAGTGAAATTAAAAGGTGAAAGATATTTTACATCTTTACATTCCTTTCTACTTTATTACAAAAGACAATGTAAGGTGAAATATAAAGATCAAAACAGTATTTTCTTTAAAACATTTTATTGTGATCTGGATGAATTTTTTTTTTTTTTTAACTTTTATTGTAGTGAAAACATACACAATAAGATTTTCGCCAACATAACAACTTCTCCATTTACAGCTTAGGGACATTGATGACGTTTTTCATGTTGTACCAACATTATTGCTATCCTTTTCCAAAATATTTCACCACCATAATCATCAACTCAATGCCCCACAAACAAATCTTCCCCTTTCCCCCTCCGTCCTCCCTGATTTGGGTGAAATTTTACAGAGCTAATTCATTTTCCATTCAAGTTCAAAAGAGTTTTGAAGAACAAGTTGAAGTTGGAAACTTCTTATAAAAAGGAAAACATTTAAAGAAGCAAAAGGCATGCAAAATTGATTATTCATAATTTTTATGAAATTTAACTTTCACCTGGATTGGTACTAATGCAAAAGTAGATAATGTCCAAGTTAAATAGCATCCATAACAGAGTGAGCAGTTAAATATGTGGTTGGATTTTCTCTCCTAACAATCCTTCACTAGACTGGGCTATTGAAATCGAACTTGGTTTTATTCCTGATGATGGATTTGGTAGGACAAAATAGAGAAGTTACTGATGCCCTTGGATTGTTAAAAATAAAGCAAAACAAAAAAATACCAAGCAACCTGTATATATTGTGCCTTTAAGTAAATCTACAGCAAATTAAGACATTTTGTATGTCAACTTACCTTTTTAAATAATAATAATAATGATAAGCCCTTAAAAGGAATATCTCTCCAAGAATGCTATTAGATCTCTAATTATAGCGCAGCAGTGACTTAAGAGATACTGATGCTCATTGAATTAGAAGAATGCTCCTGTACTCTAAGTTAGATCATATGATGGTTGAACGTGGGGTAGGTTTATTCCCTTTGTAGTGTAATATATATCCAAGAGTTCTTTCATCCACCTGATTTGATTAAACTAAATGACACCATAAAGGGAGCCCTCAGTGGCACAATGGTTAAGTGCACAGTTGCTAATCAAATGGTTGTTTTGAGCCCATCAGGAGCTCTGGTAGCATAGTGGCTAAGACACCTGACTGCTAACCAGAAGGCTGGCGGTTCAAACCCACCAGCCACTCCTGGGAAGGAAGATAAGGCAATCTACTTCCATAGTGATACTGCCTCGGAAACCCAAGGGAGGGGTCACTATGAGTCGGGTCCGACTCCACAGCACATAACAACAACAACAGCCACTCCATGGGAGAAAGATGTGGCACTCAGCTTCCTTAAAGATTCATAGCCTTGGAAACCCCATAGGGAAGTTCTGCTCTGTACTGTAGGGTCACTATGAGTCAGAATCAACTCTGATGGCAACGGATTTGATTTCGTTTTTAGATGACCTCAGAAATTCTTTCAAACCTCTCTATGAAATGCTTCTGGAAATAAATGCAAATTTGATTGAAAAATAGAATCTCTAGTTTCCTTATGTAACGGTACCTTCAGGAAGCCAGTGGAAATTTAGACTGCACTGTAGAGCAGATTCACGGTCCTGTGGAAGAGCGGATCAAATCTCTAGACCGCAGTTGGTATGTCAAACTTAGCCAGTGTAGCCGAGAAGGCTTCTGAGGCACTCCCGTGCCAGGATTGGAAAAATAGAGCAAACACTTCCAATGAAGTATTCTATTGTCAGTCTTACTCGTGTTATCAAATTTAGAGGGGTGTGTGTGTGTGAGAGAGAGTATGTGGGTGTGTGAGTGTGTTGTGTGTATACATCTTAGCTGATGTAATACAAATAAGGGATGTGTGATGATTTGAATTTGTTGGTATGCCTATTGATATCTCTTGATTAGAGGCTACACTAAAAGCCAAAAGTTACAGAATTCTGCAACTTGTTGGAGCAATAAGCTCATTTTAATATCTATACCTCAAGTCTATATATTTACACTTAATAGAAGAACCAATTCCATTTTGAAACTCATGTTCTTCTGGTGGGGGGGGGTTGCTCAGAGAAATGTAATTAGTAGAAAGAATGCCATTCTCTTTACAATACCAAATCTGGCTCCCTGATGTCTAGTTCTTTCAGAGATTTGCTGGATGAATTTCATAAGCTTCATAGAAGTAAAGTTGAATATGTTTTGTAAAAAACCCTTATAATAAGTAATTTGACATGCAAGTGATTAGCTTTTGGTTTGGTATGTAACATACTAAAAGCATATGCATTCCCCTTTTTTTAACAGGTACAAATCCAATGAAGACTATGTATATGTTAGAGGACGTGGGCGTGGAAAATACATTTGTGAGGAATGTGGGATCCGCTGTAAAAAACCAAGCATGCTCAAGAAACATATCCGCACTCATACTGATGTACGGCCTTATGTATGCAAATTATGTAACTTCGCCTTCAAAACAAAAGGTATGGGACTGGGCTTTCTCAGAGGATAGATGCTTTAATTATGGCTACTTAGGGTTCTGAGGACTATTTTATATCTAACATTCATCGACAATAAGATGATTTTGTTTGTGAAAATATGACTCCACAAATGTATTTTCTTCCTCATCAAAGTGATCAAAGGATATATGTGAGACTGTGAGGCTCCTTTTATGACTTAATTAAGAGCTATAGGCTTATGTCCAGGCCAGTTGTCTCCAAAGGAATTGGCTAAGAATTGCCTGGATAGCTATTACTTCATGTAGGAAATGGTATGTGGTCTAATTTATATCTGCACCAGCATTGAAATGCTACAGGGAGACAATGCATGCAAGGGCATTAGAAAAGCAAGATAGCAGCTGGGAAGAAAACATGTGCCCATGGTCAGTTTCAAGTTCATAAATAATGGAGAGATCCACAGACTCCCAGGTGGGCCACTGCATCCACAGCTGCATTAATTATGCATAGGAATTTGATAGCTTGTGTTCCCATGTATTTATCTGCACAGAGACAATTTCTTACTCTGAAGCCACACTGTTAATCTCATAAAATTAGGACTTGCCTGGAAATGATATTCTTTTTCTTTCTTTTTAAAAAAGAATCTATTTTTTAGCAAGTAATTTGTATGAAAAATATTTTATATAACAAGGATGCTTCAGTTATAGTTCTATCAATTTATAAAATTATGGAAATATTCCAAAACCCAGTCTTCTCAGAATACAAAAACTAGTCACTAGAGGTGGTTTGATTTTTCTGGAAGTATATGTTACATTAGCTCTAATGGATGCCACTGATACCCCATTGCCTATCAAAACACATAAATATCAAATGAAATAATCTTTTGCTAGAGCAATGAAAAACTCTTTGCTCTTTGTCAAAAAAACTACACTTGTAGTTAAAAATCCTGAGTTGTTTTCCAGGTTTGTGAGAAGGGTAAATGTGTAACATCTCAGCATATCTGATTCTTTCTTTATTCAAATTGTATCTATATTAAGTCTTGCCTCTTTTTAAGCCAACAAAAGAGGAAGGAGTATTCATTTGTATTTCAAAGGAAATGAGTATAAGATCTTTTTAATACTATCCACCTTCCAACCATCAAGCTTTTTATATGAAACTTACTGTGGTAGTCCCTGGGAGATAAGATGTGAACTTTGATTTTTAGGAAATGCTACTAATTCAGCAGGTATTATAAATGATATATCTGCAGTGGAGATAAGAGTTGGCTGCCCATATACCTGTGGGAAAAACTGAGGTGAACAAGAAATGGCACATTTTATGATTTTTTTGAAAAATCAATTTAATTTGGCTCTACACCACTGTCCTGGAGTTTCAGCAGGAAATAACTTACTCTTGGTCATTATTGCCATTTCCTTGTCACCCTGTGGAAATGTGCAAATGTCCTGTAATCTTAAAATGAGCAAAATACCCTGGGAAGTCCTGCCAGTTCTCAGTTCCAGCTGAAAAGTGTGCTGTCCCAACCCACGTAGTCGGAAGCGCTGATGAGGCTGTGTGTACAACACCAGCCCTTCTCCTTTCCTGCACCGTTTCTTTAAGTTCTCTCCCTGTACTGCCTTTCTCCATGCCCTCCTTGTCCCAATCCCTCCAAAAGTTCATGACTTCAAAGAACTAAAGCCAGAGTGGGGTTGCCTCAGATTCCTTATCTGCAACCACAAACATACTCTGCAAATGGGATCTCAGAGCCTGACAACCTGCTTGAAATGGATGGAGATAAAAATATAGAAGAAATACATGTTATGATTTAAATACATTATCCTGACACCTAACAAACACCTATACACACAATAGCTTACTTGCATCCTTGCAGAAGCAGGTGACTTCCATTAATTTATAGACACATTTCATTAATTTCGAAGTCCCTGAGTGGTGCAAATGGTTAACATGTTCAGCTGCTACCCAAAAGGTTGGAGGTTCGAGTCCTCCCAGATGCAGCTCAGAGGAAAGGCCTGGAGATCTACTTCTGAAGAATCAGCAGTTAAAACTCTATGCAGCACAATTCTACTCTGGCACACTGGTCACCCTGAGTCAGAATCAACCCAGTGGCAACTGTCTAACTGGCTTCACTAATTTACAGATTTAAGAATTATTGATGATGTGTTCATAAAAAATTTTTGAGCAACTTAAAAAAATTATAATTATTTGATAAATAAGAGCATCAGGATCCTGGAAATCATATGGAGCTATCAAAAGGGTACATAAAATTCATAGGTATATAAGAAATAAATAAAGGAATAAATGAAACTGAAAAATAGAAGTTAAAAAAACACAACAAAGCCCCAGTTGAGAATTATGGCTCACAATTCTAAGCTAAGCACCCCTTCAAAGGAACAAGCTGAGCAGTCTTAAGAGTTTCCAACTAAGACTTCAGTGAGCTGACTTTTAAACATTAAAACATTTGTTGGTGCATTGCCAAAGCATCATCAAAAGGCACAAATAATAATACGACGCCTTTCATTGAACTAGATGCAAAGGCTTAACAATGAAATTAGTTCTTGGGGAGCTGACTCATCGGCACATGACAACGTGGCGTTGAGTAACGTATATAGCCATGGGTCAAGGATGATTAGATCGATGTCAAAATTTCTTAATGCCATGTTATACAAATCTCTAGAAATACAGAGAGAGAGCTATATACATATACATGTATATTTTTATATAGTATATAATTATATATATCATCATGAATATTTGACATGAAACATTTCTATTTCCTTGGAATAACAGGAATCTCAAAATAAATAAAGAAGGAATATTGCAGTTCCAATATTAGAGGGCACTTGACTGCTAACCAGAAGGCTGGCGGTTCAAACCCACCCACCACTCCTCGAAAGGAAGCTTGGGCAATCTACTTACATAGTGATACTGCCTCAGAAACCCAAGGAGAGGTAGCTATGAGTTGGTCTGACTCAATGGCAAATAACAACAACAACATGATACAGTTTGCTAATATGACAAGTAGATGTTAAATATTGGGAATAATGCTTATAAATAGCTTATAAATAGCTGAGTATCTGATGAGCATTTGCAAAGATCTTTGAATTCACTTGCAGGGTTGGTCCACACGTTAGTTTGCATATTCTTTCTTCTGACCAGTGAGAATTATATCTATATATAGGGGTTAATCTATATCTGATTGATGCCTGGAGATCTGGGGCTGAGTGGGTTTGTTAATGAGAGTATTTGATCTGAAGTTTCTCTGAGGTATGTGACCCAGCTCATAATGCCCTGTTTGTATGGAGTCCCAGGAGGCTGAAATGTTCAGGTGAAACAAAGATATTAGGTCCTTTCTCAGGTAGGAAAGGCTGTGTGGTCTCCAGCTTGGCTTGGAGCCTACACCAGAAAAGTTGTGACTCTCTCCTTCCACACATGTTCTAGAGTAAAGAAAACCTGAGGTTGGACAGAAGCTCCCAGGAGTTTACATCTTCAAAAACCAGATTGTTTGTTTTAAGTTTAAAGCAAGGGGTAATGGCAGAAGAATTCTATGTTCTCCTAAGTTAGTTCATTTCAGCATTGAATTTTGGAAAAATATCATATTTGGTGACTCTCTCTCTCTCTCTGTTTTTGGCTCTGTTTGGTAGGAAACCTAACGAAGCATATGAAATCTAAAGCACACATGAAAAAATGCCTGGAGTTGGGAGTCTCAATGACATCAGTGGATGATACAGAAACTGAGGAAACAGGTATGTCAGGGTTTAATTTGCTGACCTGTCACTGTGCACACTGGAGCTCTGTGGCTGAGGTTGGCAAAATAAGTATAGATGTTTTCAAAGCTGATGAAATTTGATTTTATTAAATACTAATTATAAAGGAAAAATCTGATATGTTGAATTGCATGAGATCTATTGAGGAGAAATAAGTATATTTTAGTTGTGATTGAGGAGGGGAAATGCCTTATTATGAAAATACTTTCATGCCTAAGGCATTTGACTGCTAACTGGAGGTTGGCAGTACACACCCACCAGCCACTCCATGGAAGGAAAATTGAGCAATCTTCTCCTGTAGAGACACTGCCTCAGAAACCCAAGGAGGGGTCGCGATGAGTCAGAAATGACTTGAGGGCAGTGAGTTTGGTTAGAACCATGAGGAGATCTAGTTCCACTTATTGTGATGGTGATTTCAATTTTAGGATATTTTTGGTGAAACTTGAAAATCATTTTAACATTTTATTATTCCTATCAAGAGGAAAATGGTAGAAAATAAATCCATCATTGACCTCAGTAGGAAGCCTGGGGGTCAGCTTGACCTCCTGATGTTGTTGTTGTGGTTGTTAGGTGCTGTTGAGTCTGCTCTGACTCATAGCAACCCTGTCAACAATAGGATGAAACACTGCCCAGTCCTGCACCATTCTCACAATACTCGCTGTACTTGAGCCATTGTTGCAGCAACTGTGTCAGTCCATCTTACTGAGGGTCTTCCCTTTTTTCCCTAACCCTCTACTTTACTAAGCATCATGTCCTTCTCCAGGGAATGGTCCCTTCTGACAACATGACCAAAGTAGATGAGACGAAGTCTGGCCATTCTCGCTTCCAATGGGCATTCCAGAAGCACCTCTTCCGGTACTAGCTACAGCTGGCGTCTGTCAGCAGGCTGCCTTTATGAATAGCCTACCTCCCGATATACACTAGTTATAGATAGTTCACATCTCTGGTTGGCACACACAATTTGTGCTAGACTACTAACCTAAAGGTTAGCAGTTCAAACCCATCCAGCAATGCCACAGAAGAAAAGTCTGGTGATCTCTAGCCAAGAAAACCTTGTGGAATAGTTCTACTCAGTAACACATGGGATTGCAATGAGCCAGATTTGACTCAATGGCCATGGCTTTGGTTTGTTTTTGTGTATAGATATACACCTGTACTGGTAAAGACGGATTGTGCCTTTTCTTTTTTTCTCTACCATCATCATTAACAACATCAGCTATATCAATTTTTTGAGGGTTCTATGTGTGGGGTGATATGCTAAGATATAAAGTCATATTATGGAATCTTATTGTAAGGTGGGGATGAAACCAGACAGATAAAAGCCAACGCAGGGTCACACAGGAAGACTGCTGCCAATGAGTGTTGGTAGGAGTTCAGAGGCAGAACAATCACTTGGAGCTGGAAGGTTGGGAAAGCTTTTGGAAAGAGTTGGGGCCTAAATTAGCTCCTAACCATGATGTTTGGATCTTGATAGTCACTCTGTTTGTTCAATTTTTTTCAGAAAATATGGAAGATTTGCACAAAGTAACTGAGAAGAATAGTATGTCCAGCATTTCAACTGATCATCAGTTCTCAGATGCCGAGGAATCAGATGGTGAGGATGGAGATGATAATGACGACGATGATGAAGATGATGATGACTTTGATGACCAGGGAGATTTGACACCTAAAACAAGATCGAGAAGCACCAGTCCCCAGCCTCCTAGGTTCTCCTCCTTGCCTGTGAATGTTGGCGCTGTACCCCATGGGGTGCCTTCAGATGGTTCCCTGGGACATTCCTCATTGATCAGTTATTTGGTTACTTTGCCGAGTATTCAGGTTACTCAGCTTATGACACCAAGTGACTCATGTGAAGATACCCAGATGACAGAATACCAGAGGTTATTCCAGAGCAAAAGTACAGACTCGGAACCAGACAAGGACAGGTTAGACATACCAAGCTGTATGGAAGAAGATTATATGCTGTCTTCAGAGCCTAGCTCCTCCCCGAGGGATTTCTCACCCTCAAGCCGTCATTCTTCACCAGGATATGATTCGTCACCCTGTCAAGATAATTCACCAAAGAGGTATCTGATACCCAAAGGAGATTTATCACCCAGAAGACATTTGTCACCTAGGAGAGATGTGTCACCCATGAGGCATCTTTCACCAAGAAAGGAAGCTGCATTGAGAAGAGAGATGTCACAAAGAGATGTTTCCCCAAGAAGACATTTGTCCCCAAGGAGGCCACTGTCACCTGGGAAAGATATCAGTGCAAGAAGAGACCTATCTCCCAGAAGAGAGAGAAGATACATGACCACCATAAGAGCGCCATCACCCAGAAGGGCTTTATACCATAATGCGCCATTGTCCATGGGGCAGTATTTGCAAGCAGAGCCAATTGTATTGGGGCCTCCTGTAAGTATAATCAGTTTTCTCTTTTTAACATATAAGTCAAAGTGTGGGATTTATTCCAACATCGGTATTTCTCTTGGTGGGAAGTAAAGTTGGTTACTGAAAATAGCTGAAAGATAGTTTATCCAAAGCTGTTGTGAGTTGAACAGACTGCAGCATGGTCCCAAATGTAGTATTCCATCAGCGCTCAGTGCATGTCCGGCTGACAACAGGTGAGGCACTCATAAACGCTTTCTGAGCCTACCTAATTCTAGACAAGAACGGAAACTTCAGTTGATTAAGAGTTAAGCCTTTGGAATTGCATGAATGCATAGACACTCAGAGCCACTTAGCTGTCATTTGTTTACTTTTCTGCCAGGTAAGGACTCTGACTGGATCATTATCCTTGACCTTCAAACTTTTTTTTTTAAATACACTTATTTACTTGCCCATAGTGAGTGGATATGAAACTTGTGAGTGGTTGATTGTGTTTGTAAATCAAAGTCAGGAACATTATCTGTTGTTTCCTGCCATCCCCACCGCCTTCTGCTACTGAGAGAACTTGCTAGGTGAGGATGTGGGCCCAAAATGAACGGAACGCTGGGAGACAGGGGGAAAGTATCGAAGGGGAGTTGTGTGATCATCCCTTCATTACAATGCAAGGTAATGGTAGCTGTCATGGACTGAATGAAAGCAGTAGGTTTAATGTACATCCATAGAAATGTGCCCTGCTCCCACCTCACTCCATAGCACAGTACACCTTGATGTCTCTTTCAGTTTGTTTAGAATTTTTTAAAGTGAATAAAGCAGACACTTAGCAGAGGGAGAAGAATGATTCCTTTTGAGTTTGTTTGCTTTACATAGGTGTGTTCTCCCAGTCTCTATTCTTTGCTGTTCTCTCTTTCTCCTGGATTTCTGTCACATGGATCAGCACCATCCTTTGCAGCCCAGGGAAACTCTGGGGGCTCCGAGCTGTGTTGTATCACTGCCCTGGTGGCTACATTCCTGCCTCCGATCAGCGTTCATCTGCCTACATCATAAGCTTAGGTTGTCATTTTAAACTGTAGGAGAGCTTTGCATTTCACTCTCCTACCCCCAACATACACTTTTCACAAGCCTCGTACCATTTAGTCTTCATGATACAGTTACTGCAGACTTGACATCATTTGCGATTTATGTCATCGCAACATGGCTGTAGATTCCTTGGCTTGGAGGATACCATATCTGAAGTGTAACATGCTTTCCTTGGTCTAGCAAGAATCCTCTGGACAAAATGATGTTGGCACGGGTAGGAAAGACCTGGCTTTCCATACCCTCACTGCATCTCTTGCTGTCACATTGACCAAGTGCATTGATGGTATTGTATTCAAGAGATGCAGTTCAGTCAACTAAGAAAAATTAGTCTGCAGTGCAAATATGCTGTTATCAAAATAACAGTTAACCTGGGCAAAGGAAGGAGTGGACCGAGGAAGTTCATCCAATTTTCGGATCCAGGCTCAGAAAGTTGTTGCTGGAAGGTTGCAAGTTTTATTGGTCACTGAGTTTGAGCCAGAGTTTTTTGTGTGTTTGTTTTTATCCACCTCACCTGGATTTTAATAGATGCTAAACTTTACCGTTCACGAAGCCCAGGTTCTGAGTCTTTGGTCTATTGCCAAGTTTAATTCTCATTAGAGAATTAATTCACTATGAGTTGGAAATGACTTGATGGCAGTGAGTTTGGTAGCTTTGCTCACATGAAATGAGGGAATATATCTGGGATCTTCATGAAACTTCTTGTCCCAAGCACTTTCATTTTATGCTTTATCACATTGTTTTCAGGGGCAGAGGACAACTTCTGTCTTTCTGTGTGTAAACAGGATTTTTGTTGCCCAGAGTAAACTAGAGTTGACAATGCTTATTAGAGGATTTCTCCTGGTTGCTATATTAATTAATAATAAACTGATATATTAATACTAAAAATAATAACTTTTTTAATGGAAGTTTTGTTAACAACACTTTATCTCTTTGCCTAACATTGACTGAGGTCATGGAACAGAGACCATGCAGGAAATTTTCTGCTCAGTCTGGAGTGATATACCCACAAGCAGGTTTAGGGAGCTTTGGTGGTGTAGTGCCCAAGGCATTTGACTGCTAACCAGAGGGCTGGCGGTTCAAACCAACCAGCCGCTCTTCAGAAGGAAGACTGGGCAATCTACTTCCGTAGATATACTGCCTCGGAAACCCAAGGAAGGCTCACTATGAGTCGAATCAACTCAACGGCAGTAAGTTTGGTTTTTTTGGTTTTGGTATGCAGTCACTAGGATTCCTTGCTGCCTTGTCATTTCTTCCTTAATGCCCTCTGTTAGTTTTCATTTTAAGAGAAAGAAAATACAAAGGTCTGTGTCTTTTATTCAATAAATATTTTTAAGTGTCTTTTGTATGCTTCAATGACAATGGTAAAAAAAAATGTATGGGCTTTAGCCATATCTTCCATAAACAAATATATTTTTATCTTCATTTGTAAAGTTTTGCTAGATAAGTAGCAAGGAAAAAGATGTGTTCCAGTCCTGAGTAGGTAGGGTACATGAGCAGTGAATTTGGTGAAACAATCAGTATTCAGTTCTCTCCCTTGCCATCTCTGTGATCTTCGGCAAATCACACTAACTTGGGCAAATGAAATTAACTTCTTGGCTGCAGTTTCTTAATCCATTTGTGGTAGCTGTAGAGGTGAGCCATGTAGATTTCCCTGTGTGACAGAACTTGACATTCAGCCATGAGGAGTGCAGCAAGCCAACAGCCCCCTGCTGGTAGCACCTTCACCCCAGCTCTCAAGCTGAGGGTCACTTCTTCCCAGCGGCCCTGGCCTATGACGGAGCCCAGATCAGTCACAGAGGAACCCTGCTTCCTCTCCCTTTTATCCTTCACATGCAATAACCCCTTTAACTTCCTGTACTCCTACCTCCTTCTCAGCATTTGCCTCCCATAGAATCCTGCTAGTACACTGTTTAAGGAGCTCTGGTGGCATGTGGATAAGACACTTGACTGCTAACCGGAAGGTCAGCAGTTCAAACCCCCCAGCTGCTCTGTGGAAGGAAGACCCAGTGATCTACTTCCATAAAGACTTATATCCTTGGAAACCCAATGCGGGTCCCTATTAGTTGGAAATGACTCGATGGCAGTGAGTTTGGTTTTTGGTTTGAGTGTACTGTTCAAAAGACAAATGGGTATTATATCTGCTACATGGTATAGGTGGGTATGGATATGGATGTGGAGATGGGGCAGTGGTCGTGCAGTGGTAGAATTCTCACCTTCCGTGAGTCCCAGGCTCAGTGTATCCCGTGCACAGCACCACCTATCTTTCAGTGGAGACTTGCCTGATCCTAAGATGCTGAGCAGGTTTCAGCAGAGGTTTCAGACTAAGACGGATTAGGAAGGAAGGCCTGGAGATCTACTACTGAAAACTGGTCAGTGGAAACCCTGTGGAACCCAGAGGTTTACTCCTCAGCCAATCACGAGGGTGACACAGGACCAGCAAGCAGCAGTTCATTCCGGCATACCTGGGGGGTCACCATGGGTCGAGGCCAACCTCAAAGACAACCGACAGCAATGTAGCTATATAGATAGGCATTTAGTGTAATCCACATTGAATTCACTATTCATATGTCAATATCAAGATTTTTCTTACTGAATTTTATGTAAGATGGGAGTTTGTGATAAGTCCCAATGTACAAAGCAAAAAAGAATTGCAAGTGGAATAAATACCAAAGTAAAGAAAATATATTGAGAGTTCATTTACAGAGTGAAGAAGGAGTGAATGGGAGGAGAGAGGATGTATGGAAATGCCCAGTAGCATTTGGATCAGTGGAAGTGGTTACATGGTGGAAATTTTACGTGTCCACTTAATTCTGTGGTTATATTCATTTGATTTCTGATCTGTAAAGATCTCAGTAGGAAAGAAACTTTTATTCTTAACACAAATAAAATTTTATGGAATTCAAAAGAGAGTGAAAATATCCTAGTTTTAGAGGGCAATTCAGCCATCCCCTTGCTAGCCTTGAGTGAAAAGATTTCAAGTAACTTCATGTAATGGGACATCTTCACCTTTGGTTTCTGCTGTCCCATTCACTTGATTCCCTCATGGATGATCATTCTGATTAGGTGATGGGAAATCACTGAATAGCAACCAAAAACAAAATGGAAAAATGAACAAGCTGTATTTCATTTTAAACTTTGAATCATCGATAACTGTAATTAAATGAAGATTTATTTGATAACCTTCAAAGGCTTTTATTGTACAGATTTCAATTCTTCCACCTTAACTGGCATTTGATGAAGGATACATACCTTTTTCTAAATGAGAGTGGTCACAACAAGGATATTTTAAGGCATTAAAATTTGACCTGGTCTTTCCTGGTCCTTGTGATGATACGGTTGATGAATACATCATTTCTCCCCCACTTCCAAGAAACTCATTTGTTTCTCGCTCGAATGAGGTGTTAGCCCAGAGCAGGTTAATGGTCCAGGGTGGCAGAGATAATGCATAATGAATAGTTCCTGAGCTTGTTTCACACTGCGAACAGAACTGGATGCTCTGTTAATACGATAGAGCATATTCTGAGTTTTAGAATCAAAACGTTCTTGAAATTAACTAGAACCTTTGTTTGTCTTTCTTCAGAATTGCTATCATACTCAACAGGTTTTATACCTATATTATTTTAAATTCTCAAAACAAACCAACAAAACTCTGAGTCCCTTTTAGATGCCCATCTATTAAAGATTGAACCTCAGTCATTGAAACCTGACAATCTCATTGTTTATTTCTAAGTTGTGTCTAGCTATGAAAACAAGTGTATATAATTATCTTTACATTTTCAGGGATGGTACTATGAAATCTGGAATTCTGACCCAGAATTTTAAGTTCTCTTTCATTCATTAATAGCCAGGATGATATTTAAGTGGGAATAATAATATAAAAGAAGAGTAAAAACACAGTGTTTTTGGTTGGCAGCTATGTAGTTGAATGTGGTTGCCACTATTTGAAATATTTAATGTTAAATAGTACTCTGATGCATAGTTTCCTTACAAAAAATTGTCACAGATATAAGATTTAAATAGCCTTGATATATGATTAGGAGCTCTGTTGGTGTAGTGCCTAAGGCATTTGACT